CTTCTGGGGTTGCTGGGCACATTAGGTGAAGAGAGGAGAAACTGCCGAGATCACCTGCCTGAGATGATCCAGGTATATAACCATACAGTGCACAGTTCTACAGGATATTCACCACATTATTTGATGTTTGGAAGGCATGGATTTCTTCCCCAGGATCGGCTGATGGGCCTTACTGAAAATGTGGGCTGCTCTTCTGTAAGCAACTGGGTGCAATGCCATCAGAGACGGCTGCAGTATGCCTTCCGAAAAGCTCAAGACCATAGAGACTCTGAATTGTCCCAGCAAAAGAAATATCATGACCTGAAAGCAGATGCTCTTCCATTGCTTCCTGGAGAGAGAGTATTGCTGCAGGACTTGAGAGCAAGGGGCCGAGGTAAGTTGGCAGATAGGTGGGAGCAGCGACCTTATGTCGTCATAAAGCAAGCAGATCCTGACTTGCCGGTGTATGTGATTAGACAAGAAGGGGGAAATGTTGAGAAAGTGATGCATCGTAACTTAATGAGACCTTGTTTGTTACCTATGCAACAAGATATGCAGAACTCTAGGAGTGAGGTGGAGACAGCCAGGCAGGAAGGCAGGAAGATTTAAAAACTGGAAATGCATTGCCACACACTGGTAGATCTAAATGGGTCAAACTGGGCAGAATGTATACAAACACATAACATCCTTATAGAATATGATGTAACACTATAGATCAACTTACCTCAGAATATATAAAGCATATAAACAATTATAGCAATATGATGCAACAAACACAGCAGTACTACTAATCCAAAATACTCAAAGCTTCATAGAACTGAAACAAACATGTACATTTATTTTTAGGTTCATTCTGCTGCTGATACATACTTTAGGTTTCTGAATGTTAAACTTGTTTCTGCCGTTCATAGCCACATAGTCATCCTTAAAATTCAGGGAAATGAAGGACACATTTGAGGGCCGCATTTCGAGCAGCCTTTGTAGCATCGCTGTGACGTAATCGGCCTTAAAATGTGGCCTTTAAGGCTGCTGACCCTGAATTGGGATACAGCCATTGTTGCGTCG